TCCCCTGCTGGACACTTCTCCAGGTCCCTCTTCTCCCTGCATCAAACTAGGTCTCAGCACCTCCACCAGGCCAAACCCTGTTGTGACTCAGAGACTTTGCAGTACTGTTTCTCTCCTGAAGCACCCTTCCCTCCCCATTTTCACCGGTCCAAGTCCTGATCATTCTTCAGGCTCAGTCTTAAATGTCAGCAGGTGCGTGTGTAATTCTTGCATGGTTTTGATTGGAAGAGTCGTACTCATCCATTATTGTAGAGTACTTTGGTAACTGTTATTGAACACACACTGTGTGCCACCATTGTCACAGGTGCAGGGGAGCCTCAGTAAACACAGCAAGAAGCTTTTGTTCTGGAGACAAGAAAGATAGAAATAACAAGAAGTAATTAATAATATTAGACCATATCAGATGTTCATATGTGTTTGGAGAAAAATCATGCAGAAATAGGAGCTTGTGACATGTGGTGGGACAGTTTGTGTATCTGACAGTGTGAGGAGGTGATGTTTGAGAAATACCTGAAGGTGCTGTGGAAGCAGAAAAGTACCTGAGGAAGAGGGAAAAGGTGGAACAGCGAGTGCAGATGCTCAGAGGTAGAAGCAGGCCTGGTGTGCTGTGGACACCACAAAGGCCCATGTTTAGGAGCAGAGGGAGACAGAAGAAGGGGAGCCACCGGGAGGACAGTGCAGACCAGGTGGGGCCCTTGAAGTTGATGCAAGAGCCTGGGAGCCTCAGAGGAGAGCAGAGACATGATTGGACTTTAACAAGATCCCGGGTCTGCCCTGGTCAGAACAGGCCAGAGTGGGTCCAGGGCAGCAACAGAGAGACTGGGAAGGGCACAGCTGATCCTCCAGGAGGAGGGATGGTGGCTGGAACCAGTGAGGTGGTGCTGGGGCGAGGACATGTTTTTGGATTTATGTTGAAAGTCAAGATAACAGGATTTTCTAAGGGATGTGGTCGGTGAGGGAAAGAGAAGAGTAGGGATGATGCCAGAATGTTCCCCCTGAACAACTGGAAGGAAGGAGTTGTGTTCCACGGAGGAGCAGAGTTTTGAGGAAGGATGTAAATTCTGAGAAGCTGCTTGACATCCGAATGGGGACATCGGGGAGAGAACTGGGTACAAATGTCTGCAGATGAGAGAAGAGTCCAGGCTGGAGATGCTACATGTACAGCTGGTGTGAAGTGAGGACAACAGATGGGTTAAGCAAAGGGTGATTACAGACAGAGAAGAGGACACATTAGTCACTCGTGATCTTGATAACAGCAGATTTTTGTTTGTTTATTAATTCTAATAATTTATATGTATTCCTTTTAGATTTTTTTAAGCTTTTCTAAGGTATAATTGAGAAATAAAAATCATGTGTTTACTGTGCACAGCACAATGTTTTGATATATATATTGCATTATGAAATGACAAAATCAAGGTAATTCACAAATCTATCACCTCACATACAGATTATTTCCTTGTGATGAGAACAGTTAAAAATCATACATTAATTAGCCTGATTTAATCATTCCATGATGTATACATGTATTATAACATCACATTGTGCTGCATAAATATATATAATTATTATTTGTCAATTAAAAGTAAAATAAAAAATTTAAAAATATGTTACCTCACGCTTTACTACTTTTTGTGTGCTGAGAACATTTGAGAGAACGATTTGCTCTTTTAGTAAGTTTCAAGTATACAACGCCATATGGTTAACTATAGTCACCATGCTGTCGATTAGATCTTCAGAACTTATTAATCCTGCCGAACAAAATTTGTACCCTTTGACCAACATCTCACTATTTATCTTAATTAGCCTCCCTTGCCCACCACCGTCTGCTCTCTACTTTGACTCATATATATATATATATATTTTTTTGTGTGTGTGTGTGTGTGTGTGTGTGTGTGTGTGTGTGACCAGTAAGGGGATCGCAGCCCTTGGCTTGGTGTCCCCCGCACCGCGCGCAGCCAGTGAGTGCACCGGCCATTCCTATATAGGATCCGAACCCACGGCCTCGGCGCTCCCAGCGCTGCACTCTCCGAAGTGAGCCACGGGGTCAGCCCTTGACTCATATTTTTAAAATATACCTAATATGCTACCGTGACACATGGCAAACTCACCGGTGACTACAGCTCTGAAACCCAACAGTATGTGTGTTTGGTGTGGATTTCAGGCTCCTGGATGGGGGCATCTCAATGGTATGGACCAGGTCAGTCCTATCTCTTCTTGTCTCCAGCCCCAACAATGTGTAGATGCNAATTTGTACCCTTTGACCAACATCTCACTATTTATCTTAATTAGCCTCCCTTGCCCACCACTGTCTGCTCTCTACTTTGACTCATATATATATATATAGATATATTTTTGTGACCAGTAAGGGGATCACAACCCTTGGCTTGGTGTCACCCACACCACGCTCAGCCAGTGAGCGCACCGGCCATTCCTATATAGGATCCGAACCCACGGCCTCGGCACTCCCAGTGCCGCACTCTCCGAAGTGAGCCACGGGGTCAGCCCTTGACTCATATTTTTAAAATATACCTAATATGCTACCGTGACACATGGCAAACTCACCAGTGACTACAGCTCTGAAACCCAACAGTATGTGTGTTTGGTGTGGATTTCAGGCTCCTGGATGGGGGCACCTCGATGGTATGGACCAGGTCAGTCCTATCTCTTCTTGTCTCCAGCCCCAACAATGTGTAGATGCTCACATGTGTTTGTTGAATGAGTAAATAAATGAATAAATGGCTGTTGCCTGCACTTCATCTATGACACCTTTTTGTTTCTCCTGCCCCAGACATTGGCACAGACCCTAGAAATCCTACATTTTGCAGGACCAACCACCCCAGGGTTCTAGATAAAGCTGTGATTCTCTGGGGCCAGGCCAGGGTGACCAGCTCCGTGGTGTGAACAGTGATGCACAGAAAACACCTCAGAGTGGGAAGACCTTAGACACTCACGCATGTCCCATGCCTCAGATGTCCTCAGAGGTTCTGGTCCAGGCTCTGGTGCTTGAGAGAAAAGCCGAGATGGGAAGCAGGACACAGTCTCTGCTCCTTCCTGGGAAGATCTCTGGAATCTCTAGGCCATGGGGTCTCTCCCCCGTCTGTGCAGAGGATGTGCTCCAACCGCGTTTGGGTCTGAGGTTCCCCTCCTGAGAAGGGC